GAGTTTCAGAGGCTGAAAGCATGAAGACCATCTGCGATATTATTAAAATAGGCTAATGACTGGGACCAGCAGTTGGCATAGTGGTTACATTGCTGGACTCCCATGTAGTAGATGGCAATTTGAATCCTGGACCTGGTGGCTTAAAATGCATGCCAGGTGCATGTGTGCATGCCCAAGATCCCAAAAGGAGAATGGAGGAGAAGGGATTGCAGGATGGTCATTCCTCTGGAGGGGTTATTACTTGCTTTCTGTTTCTCTGTCTCTATTTCTCTGGCAAGCGCACATGTCCCAGAGACATCTGGATCTAAATTCCAGCACTGGCACTGGCTGGGTGCCTTGGGGCTCCCTCTCTGGGAGCTCAGTTTCCTCATTTCAACACAAAAAGGATAATATCTGTTCCATGGAATGAAAATTGAGCAAGCTTCTTCAATGCAGACTTTGAAAACTGGATGCCTGCTTGTCTGACAGTCTGTGCAACACATAACTGTCAAGAATATTTATTGAGAGCTGTTGTAGTGTTGTGCTGATACACCAGAGACCAAAGCAGATACAAAAATCTCAGAGTGTTTAAAAATTGAATTGCTCACCTTTGAAAATCAGGAAGTTTCACATAAAAGATCCAAGTTCCTGATTATTCATGGAACACTTGAAGGTCTGGCCACTCTGACTCAATGTGTTTATGGGAAGCAATAGGCTGGAGGTGGATCCTGATCGTTCTCTTTGGTCAGAGCACTTATTCTGCAGTCTGCCACAGCCCTTCCAAGTCCATGTTAACTCTGCTTGCTTCACTCATTTGTATCACTGTGGGCATCTTGCATTTGTGATACCTGAGTTGGTCCCAGTCTTTATATTTAGTAGGTGGTTGAGTTTCAGAGGCTGAAAGCATGAAGACCATCTGCGATATTATTAAAATAGGCTAATGACTGGGACCAGCAGTTGGCATAGTGGTTACATTGCTGGACTCCCATGTAGTAGATGGCAATTTGAATCCTGGACCTGGTGGCTTAAAATGCATGCCAGGTGCATGTGTGCATGCCCAAGATCCCAAAAGGAGAATGGAGGAGAAGGGATTGCAGGATGGTCATTCCTCTGGAGGGGTTATTACTTGCTTTCTGTCTCTCTGTCTTTATTTCTCTGGCAAGCGCACATGTCCTATAACAAAAATCTCTTTAAAAAAAAAAAAACTAGGATAATGGCTTGGACTTGGGTTGAGGCTGTGAGGATGGAGAAGAATAAATAAATATGAGAGAAACACCAGTCATAAAAAGTTACCATCTGCAGGCCAAAATCCAAAGTTGTCTAAGCTTTCCAGCCTGGATAGGGAGATTGATGGGGATGGGGTAGGGGACCAGAGGTATGAGACGCCTGGAAAACTGGGAGGGTGGGAGAAACCATGGCATTGGAACCTAATCTTAACCCCTCACCCCCACCCCTAGGAAAGTCTCCTAAAAGCTGCCTTGGCTTTGTTCATTTCTCAGAGCTGTGCAAGTGTGCTTAGAAGGATTTGTTGTGTTCTCCTCAGATATCGTGGACCTATTGCAAAAACGTAGGTCACCGGGAGCTGCGCCAAGAATCTTGGACTTTTCTATTGTTTCCAGTGTTGGGTTGCAACTACAGAAAAGCTGTTGCTTTTTGCATTTCTTCTCAGCCATGTCCACCTGGGCAGATTCAAGGGGCTCAGGCATGGCCTGGGGGCTGAGCTTTGGTGCCTGTCCATGGGCACCACTCATGGCGGGTTTTCCTGCCAGCACCGACTTTTCATCCTTGGGAACCAATCCATTGCTTACAGTTGAGGGAATTTTCCTTCTGTTCTTTCTTCCTTTATGGATCCTCCTCCATCTGTCCTGTTAATTCCTTCTAAAATTCCAAATGGGAGTTTATTGAGCCTCCAGGATTCACTCTGTTTCTCCTCTCATGTCTGATCTTATTCGTCTTTCCATCCTTTTCCTCTGAGTTCGGGGAAATTGCTCACACTGATCTTCCAAATGACTGTTTTGGGCTTGGCAGTATCCAATCCATTGTTTAGTCTCCACTAATTTTGATGTTATGATGATCCTATTTGCTTTTTCTACTGAAAGCATTTACTGATTTTCAGGGCTTTTTCTTCAAAGGGATGATGTTTATTTTGTTTTATTTATTCTTGTTTTGTTTTCTGTCTTATTTCGGAATAATTGTAGATTTTCAGAAATGGTGCAAAGATACTGCAGAGAGTTTCCATCCATTCACCTTTCCCTGACATCCCCTAATGGTACAGTCTTACCGTGTGTTTTTGGATTTTATTATGTTTATTTAGGAGAGATTTTCTAAAGTTTTTTTGAATATATATACAGGGAAATGTTTGCAGAGATTCTAGAGCATTGGGCTGTTTTCATTACCAAATCTTTTGACTTTTCTTTCTTTTCTCTTTTTAAATTTTTTGAAAGATTTACATTTGTCCAAGACTGAGCTGGGTATTGTCAGATATTATGAGGATCTCTGCTCAAGTGTTTCCCTGAGAGAGAAGAGTCTAGTTGTCTGTGTACCTGTGGGGTGGGGCGGAAGAATTTAAAAGGGTAGATCAGCTGGGTAGATCCTTTCTTATGTTTATATTAGTTTGACACCAGCCTTTGCCCTTAAAGAACTCCACTGCTCCCCCTCACCCCGCGCCCCCCCCACCTCACTGTGGCTGCAACTCCTCTTTACTTGACCCACCACCTACATCTTCAGGAGATTTGGAGTTAGCTTCCTCTTAAGTTAGGGTTTTTCCCAGGAGCAGATCCTGACAATGTAAGAGCCACTCGTTTATTTGAGAGGTTTCAGGATATACCTGCCAAGGGAGTGAGGAAGTGAGACCAGCAAGGAAAGACAGCCAATACAAGATGCATGATCAAGCATTTATCACCAATGGAACTCAGCATGACCAGGAAACTCCAAAAGAGCTTACAGTATGTGCCTTGGAGTTATCTGCCTAAGAGGTAAGGAAGCTGAGGAATTTATACACCCTGCTTCTAGGGCCTTGTTGCTTGTGATTTGCTGCACATGGAAAGAGGCAGCTACGGTGATCAGAGAGAGCCTCAGACAAAGCATGGCAGGTGCTGGAGGCTGGAAGTCAGGCTGGCATGCACGGAAATAAGGAAGTGCTGAGATGGTATGGGCAGGGCCCTCACAGTATCTGTGCACCGTGCTTCCTGTATACTTGTTGCTGCCCCCATAACTATAGGGGTTAGGATGTGCTCCTTGCCAAATGCCTCACATCTCAAATTGTTTGTAGCTGCTGATACTCTGAGCCTTTTTGGGGTGATTGAGTTGGGGAAGTAGAGAAATAGCAACCCTGGTTCTACCAGAGATTCATTTTTGCCTACTTTCTGCCTGGGGTTTTTCCTTGACTTATTTTGAGTTGTGGGTGGGTCTATGTTTCTCTCAATCCAGTAGCACCTTCATTATGTCCTGTAGACATGTCACCATAATTGCATTCATCCTTGTTTTCTAGCATGGAGCTGGGTTTTTTCTTTTTATTTAAATCTCTAGATTTCTTCTTTCTTTTCTTATTGGCATATTGGAGGAAAGGGATTTCAATACGTAGGCTCAAATTGGCATTTCAAAACTGAAGTATGACTTATTCCCAAAAGGTACTTTCAACGCATTATCTTGGGGGCATTTGAACTTATGTGTATTTAATTTAATAACAGTTATAAAAAAATAGCAGGAAGAAGTAGCTGCATTATTCACTTGGTTCAAAGACCATTTGTGTTTCCCCAACATTAACTCCCTGCACTTAAACTGACAAACCCTAGATAAATGCAATAATTTCTTCACATTTCACCACGATCAGCTCTTTACTTCTAACAGCAACAATTGTATTTCTCATTAACTTGTCCATTGCTGATCCTTGGAGTGTTTGAATCTTAAAAAAAAAAAAAAAAATTGCAAGAAACTGTTATAGCTACTATAGGAGACTGGAGAAATAAAGAAATAAAGCTATTGTGGCTTTCTCCTGGAGATAAGGGTGCTGCTTGGGTTTTGAGCCAGCATTTCATCATGTCTTCCTCTTCTGCGGTTGGCTCTAAGTCTCATGTATGCTATTTGTAGTGGATGCTACAGGCAGGGTAGGGAAGGCTTTAGTGGGAAGCTTAAGAAAAGAATACAAGTTATGGAAGGTCCAGGGTGGAAATAGGGAAGCCAGGATTTAAAACTGTGGGTGAGAGAATGGCTTCTTATGACTTTAGAAGCATTGGCTAATCTGAGGTCAGGGTAAGATATCCAATGATACTTCAGTTTTATGTAAGCGTGGGAAGTTACAGATTCTAGAATGTTGCAGACAATGGCAGGATTTTTGCTAAGCCCATCTTCTCTTCTTTTCTGGTGCATAGCTAGAATGTGTTTCCCAGACTCTTTTGCAACCAGGCGTGGCCACCTGACTTGTTCTAGCTGATGAAATGTGAACACAGTGATAGGTGCCATGTGCTGGCCAGGTCCATAAAACCTTCTACGCCTGTCCTCCATACTTATTCCATCTTTGCCTTACAAGGCAGCATGGAAAACAATTCCTGGGAGTCAAGCCTTCTCAATTCTTTTGTCTTGAGCACCGTACTTGTGTTTATGTGGCCAATAAAAAATTAGATTCCTTGGGCATTCAAGTCATATTGTGGATCTACTTTATTGTTATACCTTGTCAGATAGATACAGGAATTTTTCACAACTTTTTTTATTCTTTTTTTTTTGGAGAGGTTTTTTGCTATAGGGTGCATGTGCTCGCCAGGCAGACAGAGAGAGACAGAGAGACAGAAATTGAGAAATCACCCCCCAGGTGGGATGGCCATGCCGCAATCCCTTCTCCTCCATTCTCCTCTCGGGATCTTGGGCACACATGCACGTGCGCCCAGTGTGAATTTAAGCCACCGGGTCTGGGACTCAAACCGCGGTCGACTATGTGAAAGTCCAGCGACATAGCCATTACGCTAACTGCTGGCCCCTATTTTTCACAACTTTTAAAAGTTTCTTTCTTTTCTTTTTATAAGAGAGGAAGACAGAGAGATAAAGAGAAAGAAAAATATCTTCAACATGGTCTCATATTATGATCCAAGTCTTCTCAGCCAGCCAGGATCACAGGTACATGTGTGTGGCATATACAGGATGACCTGGGAACCAAACCCTACTCTTCCATATGGCTTCCAGCATTGCAGAGTGTTGCATTACTGTTGCACCCCCATGGCTGGGCTATGAACAACTTTTGAACTGAATGTGGGATTTCTGTTTTTCATTTCTGAATTCCATTGTTAGATTTGGCCCACCACCCTATCCTGGCAAGATCATCCTGAAACCTGATTCTGTCATTCAGTGTGTGTGGGAGAAAATTAATCTCAACAGTTTAAGGCTGAAGCCAAGAATTTCGAGCAACTCTTCTGCCCCTTTCAGAAAAGTCTGACTGCTCAAGCTGGGGGTGGGTGGGGAGCACATAGGAGACTATTGAGATAAATGTCTTGTTCTGTAAAGATTTTGTGAAGACCTGAGAGTGGATTTGTATTTGTGTTTGTGTGTGTGTGTGTGTGTGTGTGTGTGTGTGTATGACATAGAACAGAGCTGAAAGAGAGAGTATGTGTGGGGGAGAGGAAGATGCCAGCCCCCATCTTAGCATGTCTACCATGGGTGTTCTGTGCTTGCCCTGGGTACCAAAGATGTACCCACCACTGCCAGAGCTCTCAGGCTATTTGAGAGGTGGTTAATTCTCCTTGCTTTTGATACCTGCTGTATTATGGGAACCCAGTCCCTAGGGGCAGCTGGATCAAGGATAAGTTGAGTAGACCGGGCTTGGAATTCTGTGTAGCTCTTGTTCTTGGAACCTGTTTCTTCAGCAATAAAATGGAAATCATTCCATACATACATGAGGATTAAATACCTGAGCTAATGGGTAATCACCTAGGATTCGATGTGTCCAGAGGATAGAGTGGGAAGGGAGACAGGCTGCCAGGCTTCTACCAACAGATGGGTTCTAGGAGATGATTTCTAGATTCACAAGGCTGGCAGATGGAACCTGAAAGGCGCTTTGGATCTGACGTGTATCTGTCACCAAGCACTAGGAAAAGGATAAGTGGGGAGTGTTGTACCCTAGCCCCACTCACCTGCTCTGTGAGCTCTTTGGAAATGTAGTGTACTGAGGCCACAGGAAACTCCTACAGGCCAGCACGTGCCAGGAGTCTGCAGCTTTCATGCTAACAGCTCCTTGAAGGAGAGAAAATAATGCTCTCTGGGCAGATTCCAGTCCCTTTTCCACCATCCAGTGCCCCACAGAGCCAGGTGGCAGCCATGGAAACTGTTGGCAGATGCAGGTGGCAGGACGATAGTAAACCTGGTACCAGGAGAGGGAGTTGGCAGACACTGCAGGGCCGCAGAGAACCCTTGGTCTTCTCAGCAGCGTTCATGAGAATTTCAAGGTGGGTTGGGGCTCCTGAAGGTGAGGGCAGAAAGTCAGCGAAGCACCAGAACTTGAGGGTGTTTCTATGACCCATTTTTCTTTTCAAATTGTAGCAAAATACATACAACATAAAATTGACCATTTCAACCATTTTGAATGTGCAATTGGCATTTAGTACATTCACAGTAATATTCACAGTGTTGCCCGATCACCACCACTATCTAGTTCACGAACATTTTCATCACCCCACGTGGAAAACTCATTACAATGATTCCCCAGCCCTCCTTTCCCCAGCGCCTGGCAACTGCTGATCTGCTTTCTGTCTGTCTGAATTTGTCTCTTCTGGACATTTAATAGAAATGGAATCATACGATACGCACCTTTCTGTCTGGCTTCTCGCACTTAGCATACTGTTTTCCAAGTTCATTCATGTTCTGGCAAACATCAGTATCCCATTCCTTGTTAATCTTGCAGAGACACAGATTAAAAAAAAAACAAAACAAAACCCATTCCTTTCCCCTTTCACAAATGTGCTTCCGCCTGTGGGAACTCCAGCGTCCTCTCAAAGTGAGGGAAGTGCACCTGGGACAGGAATGGCGCGGAGTAGGTGCCTAGGAGTGGGGATGTGTTGTTTCCCTCCCAGGGTGTGTGAAATTTCCAGCTGCTGGCTGGCACTAACCAAGAGCACTGCCAGGGGGCAGCATGTTCCCACGGAGCCTGTGTGCCCGCCCTCGGAGGAGCCGATATTTATGAAGCTGTTGGGCTCTGAGTACATTCACCGCCTTTCCATCATGCATGTTTCAGATGTTGTGCTCCAGCCAAACAAATTGTTCAGGCTTAATTTCTGAGAAATCATTGTCAAGAATTGCTGAACCAGTTTAATTCTAAAGCACATATTTATACGGGGCTTCAAAACTCACATCCCTGTGCACGATTACAAATGGAAGGGAGAGAAAGTTTAATCAGGAATGAGATTAGGTTTGAGTCGGGAGGGCGGCTGGCTCTGGAGGTGGAGTAGGAAGTGGGTATTTGGTGGACCCAGCTCAGGGGGAGCCCTGATGGAGGAGGGCCTGTGGGCTGGGACTCCCTCTGGGCTTGGACTGATGAAGGTTTGAAAAAAATGATGTATGAGAGAACCGGGGGCTGTGTGACTCTTGGGACCTCCAGGGCTTTTGGGAGAAGTGGCCTGTTTAGCTGCTGTTGATTGGCCCCTGCCTTCAGGAGAAGTTCCCAGCCAACATCTCCCCTTGCCACTCATTAGGGGACAGCCTGTTCAGGTCTCATTTACTCTATCCAGGTACCTGCCCTCAGCTTAGATTGAAGGGAGTAGGCAGGTCTTACTGATAGGAGGCAGTTGGGACCCCTACCCTGAAGAAAGAAGACAGATTCTTGCTAGTGGAGGCCACCTCCCCCCTTTCCCCACTGTGCTAGCTTGGCCTGTGTGAGAACCACCTTCCAGGCAGGTGTCACCATGCCAGCCTTCAGTGCAGGGCAGCGGAAACAGAGTCACTCTGCTCCAGATTCGGAAAGGAGAGCATGAGGCAAAGGGGAAGAGGGAAAATGCTTTGGGTTTAGAGGTAGCAGAGCTTCTGGCCAGCTTGCTGTGTGACCCTGGCAGGTCCCTGCCTATGTCTGGGCCTCAGTGTCTTCATCTGTGAATGGATCGGACCCATTATGATTCAGAAACATATGTGATCCAGCAGCTTTTATATGCCAGATTCTTGGTTGCCATCTTTCCTGTCTATGATGTTGTTTAACTCAAGACAGACATTATGATCTTCTCCATTATGACAAGTATTATGATCTCTACTTTGCAGATGAGGAAGAGGGGGCTGAGAGAGGGATGGTGTGGAGATGGCAGGAACTTTGGATTCCTACACCCCCTTCTAAGGTCTTGAGGCAGCTCTCCTCTGGGCCCTTGGTTGCAGGTCTGTTACTTTAGGCCTCAGGCAGGTTGTTCAAACTTTCTGTGCTTGGGGTTTCTCTGTAAAATGGGCAGGATAATAATGACTTACTGACTTAACAGATTTGATGAGGCATTCGCAATAAAAGGTAGCTTTGATGTAGACAGTGATTTGAGTGAAAAGCTGAATGTCAGATATGAAATCCATGACACACAGTAAAACCCATGCTGCTTGTAACAACTCATCTTGGAAAGGACAAGGACCGAAAGTGCCGGAGATGGGTGGGTCTGAAGTTTGGAGTGTGTGTAATTCACTCCAGGTTTTTCAAGGCATTGGCCATAGGAATGAAGAGTGGTCTCCCTTGTTCTGCTCATAGCCTTCAACTGTATTTATTAAACCCTGATTTCTGTTTAATCTTTCTTTTTTGTAGCAACACAGCAAAACACCGCAATTTTCTAATACCATACAGGGCCAACATCTTGGAGGATTTCAGGACAGATCCTAATAGCTAGCAATCTTTGCATTATAACAGTCAGCCGCAAGAATCCTTGAAAGGAATGCAACTCTCTAAAGCTGAGGACTGAAGCAGTTTTTTTCTCTAAACATTTATTACAAATAGATGTATTCTTTGTATTCAGCATAGACCGAAGCATTCGGTCCTTTTTATTGCAGTAGAAATCTGGCCCAATCTGGCAACCCTTTTTAGAATCACACACTGAAAAAAGTTCCCAAGACATGTAGGGAGGTGCGACAGTTTCTGTTTGTAGCACAGGGGTGTTGGGTGTGGGGGTGTGTCTGCCTGCATGGCTTAGGCACATGGCTCTCCTGGGAGCCAGCAGGCTGCAGGTTTACCTCACTCTGGGTTGATGATGAAGGTGGGATGAAGAATAAAGAATGCTTACACACACACCCCCAGTGTGATTTACACGCTGCCGGGTCTGTGGCTCTAACAGTGGTCAGTCACATGGGAGTCCACACCACCTGCTGGCCCCCAGCCCATGCATCTTTTTTTTTTTTTTTGAATGCTTAATGAATATTTATTTTTCATGAAATTAGAGGTCTTCAGGGTCAAGTACAACTGTCAGAAACTCAATTGCAACCGAAAAATACAAAAGAGAACTTGTAGGCTCTTGAATCAAGAAAGTCTTTGGTTCTAGCTTCAGTCATGGCTTGCTCTAGGGGTGTCTTGGGCTGGAATCTCTAAAAACAGAACTTGTTATGGGGATTCTTGTACAAGTGATTTATTGAGGGAATGCTTTCAGGAGGCATTGCAATGAAGCAAATCTGTAAGCCAGATAAAGAATATGGTTTCTGTTGGAGTACAGCTCCAGCCTGATCCCATGGGGGAGCTCTGGAATATGAATAACATCACCAGCTGTCCTGGTCTACTGCAAGAGAACAGGCCTTTTATACTCCCATGTCAGTCAGGCATTTACTATGAGCTGCCTCTGGAAAGGAGGGCATCACCTCCTGGAAATTTCTGGGCAAAAAAGCCCTTTCTTTGGTCCAGGCAAGTCTTTACAGAAGGGTGCACATGTGAGCTGTTGACAGTCAACAATTACAGTGAACACACACAGATGAGTGTACTGGTCTGGTAGAGGTGTCTACCAACAGTGCACCAACAGTGTCTATACCCAGTGGCTCAGGCAGCAACTTGGGACTTTGTCTCTTGGCCCATTTCTGAGATTAGCTTCTTGGCTCCATCCTCATAGAGTAGGAACAAGCTGACCATCACAGACCCTAATCTTCATTCCCACCTAACTTGTGAAAGAAAAAAGAGACCTATGTCTCCTGATGTCCAGATGTGAAGTGTCCTAGATTTGTCCTACAGTTTCATGCTCACTCCTGTGGTGGAGAGGGTGGTGAGGTTATAGCTAATTGAACCTCATGATTAAAGTCCCTCCAAATAGGTTCATGATTCCAGAAGAGAGAGGGATTGTGACAATGTCTGAACTCCTCTTTCAAGTTGGAAGAGCATTGTGAATGGAGGGAACAGCATATACATGGTATAAGGTGCTAGGCAGTGCCATACACTGGGTAGTAAAAAGGAAGAAGTAGGCCAAGCTGATGTGTAGAGACAGGTTGGGAGGGAGCAGAAGGAGAGAACTGAGAGGTGGCCAAGGACAACTCATGGATGGCCTCAAGGACTAACAGAGGAGTACAATCTCCATCCTGACAATCATAGGTTTGGTTTGACGTTCTCTGATTCTATAGTATGCCCTGTCTCTTATACCATTCTTCCCCAAGGGTTTGGTATCAAGTCACCAGAAAAGCTAGAGACTGTGGGCTTAAACCCAGCCAGCACCAACATCAGAGGGGCAGAATGTAGAGGTAGCAGGGTTGCTCAGCAGTGTCCACATGGGTTGGTAGTAGATGTCATCTATAACATCATCCATATTGATGCTAAGTCTGGGCAGTCAGTACTATTACAGAGTCAGTCCTGTCTTGAAAGGAATCTATTGTTTTGTTCAGGGAAACTGGGGCAGAAACCCAGCTGAGAGGGTGAGGCCAGCACAGAACGGAGTAATCGGAGTAATCGAAGATGGTAGCTCTCCTCTGGAAACAAGTAGGATTCCAAGCTTTTCCTCCATGGGGGGTCAGAAAGGAAGATACATTAGTTCAAGTTATCCTTGCTGCTGTAAGAAATAACCTCTATCATTTTAGTAACCAAACACGTTTATTTTTCTCCACATGGATACCCATGTTCCTTCCATCTTGTGGCTCTACCTTTCCCCCTGGTCAGCAGCCAAGCAGAAGAGAGAATATGGAGAGAGCCTGCCTTGCCCAGGAGAGACACCTGTTGCTTCTGTTCATGCCCCATTGGTGAGAACTAGTCACATGACCTCACATAGCTCAAGGGTAGCTAGTATATATAGTTCCTGGCTCAGCCACATGCCTCAGAGACAACTCTATACCCCAGGAGGGGGAGCATGCATTTTGACCAGTTGCCATTTTGCCATAGGCACCCAACAGATTCTCCCTCAATGAGAGGCCACAGTGAGCCCAGCTGGGGAATGGGATCATGTCTTTGCTCTACCTGGGTAGACTCAGCAGTCTCTTGGTTACAGTCCAGCCCCTGACATGGTCCAAATGAACCTGAGCCATTTCTAACCCAAGTAGGCTGTGGATTAGTCAGAGAAGTTAAGGACTCAGTAAAAAACAGAGCTTGGCAAAGTACATGGGAAAAATAAACAAAGGCATAAAATGACAATTTCCTGCTATGGGACCCGGGTTCCGGGAAAAGCTTATGAGTACACAGGGTTTGAGATTAATCCGGTTTCTCTCCTGCAGCCTCTGTTTGTGCTTGAGCTGTGTTTGATCAGCTCAATTTCTGTTTAGCATCAAGGACCTTCTCCACCAGTTTATTCCTGGCCTTCTGCTGGATCTGCAGTGAATTTGTGTAAGGCTGAATTCATAGCCTGAGGACATTCTCTCCGCAGCTCCTTGTAATGATCTAAATATAGACACCTCACCTCGGGTGCAGAGCAGGAGGAGCCAAAAGAGGAAAGAGACTTACTTTGTAGACACCTCGTTGTGGCCTCCTTGGTCTGAGGCCTGAGGCTGGGTTCGAGTCTTGGGCTCTCTACATTCTCTCTGTGTGACCTTGGTAAGTCACAGACTTTCAGTACTACTCTGGAGCAATAAAATGTGGAAAGCGCTGTTGCTATGACAAAAACAGATGAGTCTGGAAGAGTTTTGTAAACTGTAAAGTGCTATCCCAGGGTTAGGGATCATGGGTAGGGGCCATGGTGGAGGTTGAAGCATAGCTCTGGAGCCAGACTTCCTGAACTGGCATCCTGGCTCAGGTGCTCTGTAACTATGTGACTTGGACAAGTCACTGCACATCTCTGCACATCTGTCCCTCATTTGTAAAATGAAATAATAATACTTATCTTATAAGGGTATTGTGGGATCAGGTAGCCAATGTGCATAAAGAGCTCAGCACCAAGTCTTGCCTATAGTTTATGTTAAATAGACACCAGTGGTCTTTACTGCTGCACGCATGCGCGCCTCTGATTTCCTATCACTGTATCTTTGTTCCTTCTGTTTCACCCACCTGCCATGCTTTGCCCCACCTCCATGGCTATGATTTCTACTCATCCTTGGAGCCTCAGCAACAATGCCCGTGCCTCTGGGGATCCTGCCTTGATACCACTGTGACAGGCTGCACAAATCCAGGAAGTGCTGTTCACACTGAAAACTGCACGCTCCCCCTGCAGTGTGTACCATCGCAGAACTACCTGCGAGAAATTGTCCTCCAGTGTCTGAAGTTCTTATAAGTCATCCCACTGCTAAGATGCTCGCATATGTGCCCCATGTCTCTTATTATCAGAGAGTTCTTCATGGGCAGAGATGGTTATTGTAACCATCTAGCATCTAGCACCTCATATACGTTTTGAATAAGTGAAAGAGGACCAGCAGGTGACGTGGTGGCTAAGGCACTGGATTCCCATATGGCCAACCACAGTTCTAGCCCTGGACCCAGAGGCTTGAAAATCATGCTATGAGTGTGTGTATGTCCAAAACCTGAAGAGGAGAATGGAGGAAAACGGATTGTGGCATGGCTGTCTACTGATTTCTTACTTTCTCTCTCTCTGTCTCTGTCTGTCTGTCTCTAACAAGCACACTCACCCTGTGGCAAAAACAAACAAAAAAAGTGAATGAATAAACAAATTGTCAAAGGTCTCCTTAGGAAGGAAAATCTTTCTGGAACCTTTCAAAACCTAAGGAAGAATTATTTGCTGAGTAGCAAATAGGCTACAAGGTAGGCTCATGTCATTCTTATATAATTTTTTGTTGTTGTTCTTTTGTAATTTCTACTTAGTTACTTCTTCCTTTTTTCTTTTCAATTTCTTACAAGGCAGGTGAGAAGGCACCCTCCGTGGGGAGGGGCCATGCCACAGTCCCTTTCCTTCCATTCTCCTTTTGGGACTTTGGGCATGCATGTGCATGTGCCTGGTGTGTTTTCCAAGCTGCTAGATCTGGGATTTGAACCATGCAGTTGACCAAATGAGATCCAGTTGCTTCAACCACCATACTGCTGATGGTCCCTCTGCTTAATTACTTTCTATAATTTTATTTGTATGTTTTTATTTTACATTGGCATAACTTATCTTTTTGATGTCTATGCATAAAACTTTTCTGCTTATCTTTTTATGTGTATGCAACAAACTTTTCCTTTTCTTTAAATTAATTAATTAATTTCTCCCATGAGTGAAAGAGAGAGAAACAGAGAAAGATCTAGCACCTATAGGGTCTTGATGCTGCAATGCACGTCCCAGAGCTGCATTACATTTCTTCTTAGTACCTTTACAATATGAACAAATTCCAACACAGAAACTTTTGGGGACATATGCAAGCTGTAGTGGGTAGATAAACGATCCACTGTTCTTCCTTGAAAGGGACATTGTGGTGTCCTGCACCGTTCTCAGGGTTGCTGGCAGAGTCAAGCTTCTGTGATCTCCTGCACCCTTTACTGGATTCTCCTGCTCCATGCCTGCTCTCTGGCTTCTGGGATCATTGTTCCAGTAAACCCTTGTACCTAAGTCCTAGTCCTAGGCCCTGCTCTTAGGGGATCTGAAACACATCACTTACGTTCTCTAGATGAGAAGACGTAGGCTCTGAGTGGTTATTGACCTAGGGTGTAGAGCTGACAGCCCAGGCATGACTGATTCAAATCTGGCTCTTCCCATTACCCCATAAGACTGCCCTCCAAAAATAGTAAGCCAGCGTGAAAACGTTCAGAGGAACGTGCTAACACTCAAGGTACAAACTGAAACCGCTGCTCTGAAATTGCTTTTGCAGACACTCAGATCTATGTGTTGAAAATGAGATAGAGAGAAGGAGGGAGAGGGAGGAAGGAGAAAGTGAGAGAGAAAAAGGAGACAGAAAGAGAGTGAGAAAGTAAAAAAAAAAAGGAGGAGAAGTAAAAGAGAAAAAAGGAAGAGGAGAAGGAGAGTCCAGAGATCAAGAGACCCCAAGAGAAGCAGAAAGAGGCAAAAGAGGCAGTGGGAGATCTTGTTCATTTATAAAACACCCCTCACCACTCCTACTCTTCATTTTTTGAAGCAAATAAAATTAAATGCAAGTAAAACAAGCAGTTCCTTCAGCTGGCTTGTTCCCACTTCTCATATGCACATTTGTTTCTAGAGTTGCTGTTTCCACACTTCTTTTTTGAGTGGGGTGCCGGGGCGGGGGGATAAAGAATAGAAACCAGAGCATGCTCTGAATTGGGTGCCTTTAAAAAAAAAACAAAAAACTTTTTATTATGGGAAAATTTATACAGAGCATGGAAATACTAGTGCAATAAACCTTCACGAACCCATCATTCAACTTCATCATTACTGAGTAGAGAAAATCCTGCCTCATTATACTAACTTGATCATCACAATAACCTTATTCTGTGGGTACTAAAGTTACTCCCATTTTGCAGAGGAGGAAAATGAAGCTCAGGGAGGGGAAGCAATTTGCTTAGAGTTATCTAGACGGCTGAGCTCGAACTCGGTGCCCTGAACTCCCAGGCTATCTGAGGCTGGCTCTTTAGATCTATACAGCCTGTGCTGCTTCTGTCCCTGCGAGAGCTGCTGATTGTTCCTGGATACCGGTAGGCTGTGAAATGTTCATGCTTCTGTAATCCAGACACTGATACTCAAAGCATGGCCCACAGACTGGCAGGTTCAGCTTCTAGAGACAAGTATAGAGTCTCAAGCCTCAGCCCAGCCCATTCAAGTCAATTTCTGGAGATGAAGCCCAGAAATCTGTATTTTGATGAACTTGATGGTTCCAATGGGAAGCACTAGCCTTGAAGGCTTTGCTTCCTTCTGGAGTGCTCTGGGACACCTCCTCTGCATACCATCTTGGGAATGGCTTCTCTCCCTTCTCCCTCCCTCTCTCAGTGACATACTTCATGTCTGTTTGGACTCAGCATGCCTGGCATCTGAGGACCACACAATGCCAGTGAACGCTGTTTTACAATCTCCCAATAGCAGTGGTCTACCCACACCCCAGTGCTCCCAGTAGCTGCCGCCTGCGTGTAATGCAGGATTCTCTGGGCTGTACCTATGACAGCCTTGTAAAGCAGGCCTCCAGGCAGGTCCTGCATGCTGCCATCTCACGCCACTATGATTTACATATGCAGGTGTGAGGGGCAGCACCTGTTAGAAATATACACCCGGTGAGTTTCACTCTTGCACCATAAAAATGGATAAATCTGCCACCCATAGAGCCTTATTTATTGCTAAGAGTTCATTATATATGCATGAAAAACCAACTAATTTAACTTCCTGGCAGTAACTTCCTGCTGGCGGCTGGATCCTGGATAGGAATTCGAGTTTAGGTGGGGGCACTAGAAAGGGCCAGATCTACCTCCAGGTGGTAAGAGTCTGCAGGTCTGAGTCTGGGCTCCAATTCTGGCCTGGCGTGGCTAGTGATGGGACTCTGGGCAAGTCGCATAGCCTATATCAGCCTCAGTTTCTCACCTATAAAATGGGGATAATCATACCTCTTGCCTAAAATTATGGTAGCAATTAAAATAATGTCCCATCTCATCAAACCGAAGCCACTGCCCACTATCTGTATGGTGTACTTCCATGTAGTGCAGAGAGAGAAAAAATGCTGCCATCAAAACTATATTCTTTGCTTTTGATCACATAGAATTTTTATTTTATGCTTATTGAAAGAGCTCTTTTAAATTCACTTAGACTTAGATTCTATCATATATTGCACGTTGGCATACATTAAAAGGGAAATAGAAGCAAAGGAAATTGGTGGAAGAATTCTATTTCCATTTCTCAGAATTACTCTCTGACTCAGTCATCGATGATGCCTGTACTTTTCCATGTAATCTCATCCGTTGTGCCATCAAGAGGGGTCACAGGTCATAGTGCAGGGATTCTTGAAAATGTTCTCAACTCTTGCCCCCAGTATTTTTTTTTTTTTTTAACAGCCAGGATCGCAAATGTGCACAGGAGTGCCAGGCACATCCAGGTCAGCCTGAGAGTCAAACCTGGGCTTCTTCTGTGGCTCCAATATTGTACAATGATGCCCTGTGACCTGCATCATCATGGCCAGGCCCCCATTCTGCAAATTTTGATGCTGAGATTTATAGAATTTACCAGGAGGTGTTGAGAGAAGTTTTGCAGACAACAACCAGTACTCCTATTCCTTATTTAAATGGCCTATAAAATGTTTGTTGATTGCAATGTGGTGGCTGCCCTTGTCCATGAGGAATCCCATCCAGTCTGTGCATGCATGACAACAACTGTATCTTGGTGCCAGCCTGGTCTGGTGGAAAGAGACTGCCAGACACATCCCCGTTTCAGAGATGTTAAAGTGGGAAAGGAAGGTGTGTCTAGAATTCAT